TTTCTTTCTTTCTTTCTTTCTTTCTTTCTTTCTTTCTTTCTTTCTTTTTTTGTATTACATGAGATGATGGATGCGAATGAAATGTATGGTGGTAACCATTCCACAATAAACGCATGTCAAGTCATTATGCGGTACTGTGGTTCGTAAGCGGACACAGTACCGTCAGTCATATCTCAATAAAACTGAAAAACAAGCACAACTTCACCTAAAATTCACCAGAAGGCGGGGAGAGAATAGTAATTTGATGGTGAACTCACTGAAGAGATCTGTGTCATATACAGAAAATAAATCCATTTATATAAATACTTCTATTTCTTCCATTTTCATAATCTGCACATTTTGATAGCCTGTCACGTGGAAAACTACTTGATTAACATTTGATACAAATCTGACCGCTACTGAACTTCAAAAATTAGGGAGTTTGGATGTAAACCTATTTTCTCTGTGGAGCTTCCCCTGTATACGGTACAATCGTATTGACTCAAGGAGTAATACTGAAGCCTGGAACTGTTCAGTCAGCATTTTAAACTATTATGAGCTACCTTCTGAACCATTGCCAAGTTAATAGACAATGAAAGATAATGAGCTTGAAATTGGGTGTTAAATTGCATTTTTGGTTCTCTCCCTTTTTCTTGAAGTTTAACTGTTTCCTGCAGAAACAAAGTCCTGTTTTGATGTATCACTATGTAAATATGTATTTTAGGCCATGAAAAGAGAAAGGAGAGAAAAAAGGCAGCAAACTGTATTTCATGTAGGAAGGTTATACATTAACATAGGAAAATTAAAATATACTGGATTATAAAACTGCTAGATTGTAAACTATACTGAATTTATGTAAAATGAAGATGCTACATTCAAAGAATATAAAAAGGTATATTACTCATGGCCTAGAGCCACCTTCCAAACTCATAAAGCAGATTTATCCCAGTTCAATTACTTAGACTTTTAGCAGGGCCTCTTTGTGTTGTCATTTCAACAATGTAAAATTCTTGATTCAAACAACGGAAAAAAAAAAGATAATGAAGGAGGGGACTGCACGATGATGCTCTTTAAACTATTTTCTTTCTGCCTTTGCCATTCAGAGAGGAGACGGGCAGTGTCATTCTAAACAAACTGAGGATTTTTATGTCATTTTATTAAACCGGATAAGGGAAACATTTGATTCTTGAAAATCATCTTCAAAGTAGTTAAAAAATGAACACCAAACTTCACGAATGTCATTCACCTGAATTTTTGAGGCCTGAAGATTTCATTATGATGGGAAGAAAGGCTTATCCTCATTAGTATAATTGTGGAATCTTTCCTTTACTTCCTTTTAAACTAATGAGTTACATTAATCCAGGTTCATTTTTATAAGCCTCTTGGGGCTAAATGTAAAGGACAGTCATCTTAGAAAACAATAAATTAAAAAAAAGCATGTACCATGCATTAAGTGCACGTATTTCATAAGACCTAGGTTAATACAACTGGCATCCAGTTTAATTAATCCTTGTTAGTGTAACAACTAATATCCCTCCCTAGCATGTTTCCTTTAAACATTAGTATGTTAATTAAATGTTTTTTTTAAAAAGATTTTTCTTTGTACTTCAATATGGCATTTATACCACGTAAATCTCTCCTCAATATCTACCTTATAAAGATGTTTTCTTATAATATCTGGCCTCTTGCAGAAATTCTGGAGCCTTTTTGAAAGCTGTTCAGGTGTAGAATACAGATATTCAGCTGCAGGAAAAACAGATACATTTTTAATGAAACAAAAACCTCAAAGCACACACTCGATATTAGTCACTTTACTAATTAAAAATGCATATTGCTCTGTGCTGCCTCGTGTTTTACATTATTTAAGCATGATTTTATAAGGTTACCTCAGCTCACAAGGATGCTTAATGCTAAATAAGACTGTGTAGTTGTGCTGTTTAGACATCTCCTTTGGGTGATTAAAATACATTATTCCAATGTAACACAATGCATATGTGATATATTTAGTGATGGGAATTTTTTCAAAGAACTGGTACTATAGCCGTATGTACCCTGTACAAGAGTTGCATATTATTAACTAGTCAATTGTTTAAATAATTTGGTGTGATTTCCAGTCCTCGATTTTTCTCTGTGTATATCATTAGAAAAAATCTGTAAGCAATCGCAGCAACACTGACCTGCTTATAAAAATCCATCATTATGGGATGTGTATGCTAACAATGAAGAATGCTATTTGAAAACTTGCTTTTTTGTTATCTTAAAAGAACAGATGGTAAATATAAGCTTACTCTAATGTATTAAAACACATAAAATTTTCCTTAACACTAACATGTTGACTTGCCAAATAAACAATTGCTCCCGCCTAAGTTTATTTTCAAACTTTCTAATTTAGCATGAATCATGTATTAAATCTCAACCAAGATGAAAGTACATTAAAGAGGCTACCTGGAAATATTTCAGGATAAACCAAATCTTTGGGACAAAGTGGGTAGCAACCACAATACACAGCTTCCAACCTAAAGAAATTTTAGAGAAGATAAAAAAATATTAAAAGGACATTACTCTGATAGCCAGAAAGTGGTTTTGTTTGCCTAAGTTAACAGTATGAGCCCTGAGTTAACTGGGACGAAAAACGTGGTCGGCAGTCCAAGCCTTAAAGCCAAAGTTGCTCTTTTAAAAGATTTTATTGATCATATATGAATTTCATAGAACAGAACCAACAGCATATGTTTTGTTCACTGAATTAATCAAAGCGCAGCTCTGCATTTTTTTTTTGTTTTTAAAATACTGTTTAACACATTTTATAATCAGCAGATAAACACATGTAACAACATGGTAAAGTATGGACAGCTTTTCTTAATAATGCTGCAAAGCCCCAGAATGTTCATTTTTCAAAAATGTTTAAATAAAATAGCAAATACTTAACTTTAACATTGTAGCCGTAGAAATGATCGAGGCACTTTTAAAAGCATCAGAAAAAAAATTTACAATCTGTTGTTGGGGCATTTTTATATTTTAAGCTCATGCTTCAAAATAATTTGTTATTTCTGTAGAATGCAAAATAATTCCCCTTTTACTGAAAAATCCTCATGGAGATTACCTTAATGAAAATTTTACTTTCTTAGCCAAAAATTCAGCTCATTTTCCATTTTATCAGAAAAGAATACTTTCTTATTAAACAAATAAGCAAGAAAGTTTCACTTTGAGAGGATTTCTCCAAGGAACACCTATAGGAAGTTGTTTTTTTTTTTTTTTCCATGTCATAGTAGTAAGGGTTAAGCAGAGAGAAGGTATCGCATCTCAAAGGTTGTTGGCCCTATATAATGGCTATTGATCTGACATATAATAAACCTTAAAGATACCACTGTAATTTCTGTTGGCTAGAAATTACACAGTGAAATTCAAAGCACTCTCTAAAATATGTTTATTTTATGAGAGACTTTGAATTGCATCCAAAATGTTGACCAAAGGCGGATTTTTATTTTGAACTGCAGATTTTTTTCAACCCAAGAATAATTTGAAGTTATGTCAATGTTTACCTTGTTTGTTTACAGTGACAAAGCACATGCAATTTAAGCTGTTTTTAAGTGGGTGATGTTTTCTCTATTTTATTATGTTGACTGAAATTAGTTTAAATGAAAGGTATTTACTTTGAGCTGCAAAGTTTGGAAAAATACTGAGTTCAAAGTTTTGCTTGAGAACTGACAAGAGTTACAAGATAACATAGTGAAAAGGCACAGGATCTAGTTACCCATTATTAATTTCAAAATCCAAACTAATATCTAATAGATTTTTTTCTCTACAGACGTAGGGTATGCATAGGAATTCTTACCCCAAATACAGCTATAAACCACATGGCAACTGCATTATAAAACAGTGTCTAAAGTTTGAGCACATAAACCAGTGAGACTCTTTATGAACCAAAAGAAAATACGCACTTTATCTGAAGACACTCAGTTTTAAAATGCTGTGCCAATCGAAAAGTAAATACATATGAACATTCTCTTATAATTGCACAAAATCAAAAGAGTGAAGTCACAGCCATTTCAGAAAGTGCACATGTTATCTGCTTTTTAATAATGGATTTGAATTAGTGTTCTGTTCCCCGAAAGAAAATTGCAGGCCAAGTTACATTTTGAGTCATCGTATGAGCATGTATCATGTCACTTCCAAAAACCTCTGCTAATTAAAATACAGTGAGATAAGAGTGGCATTATTTGACTTAGGGAGAAAAAATTTACAAGTTTTGGATTTCAACTTTTATTTACAAATTATCTTATTTGTAGTGATATTTCTAATTCATCAAGGAAATACACACACACACACACACACACACACACACACACACAAACCAGCCTCCACCGTTGGTAAAATTTTGACTTGTTAAATACTAAACTTTATTATCTAGATTATTTAGATCAGAACTATGTTTTAAAATATATTACATAGGCCATAATATTTTTAAAGAAATTTGTAAAATTCATTGCCATAAGTTTCTCATATTTTGCTATGTTGAAGAAAATGATCATCTCATGACAATAATACAATTATTCACCATTTCAATTCTTATGCACTACCCTACCAGTTAAATAATAAATAGGGTTCCAATTGATCTATTGTTAAAATGACTAGCAAATGACCTTTTTATTCCAATTAACAAATCATCTGCTAAATCTATGAATCTTAATATTCAGATCTATTCACTTCAATTCATACAATTTATCTGCAAATAGTTGTTGGGCTTTTGATTCTAAATATAATTAGCTGATAATTTTGCTTGGCTGAATTACTTTTCTGGAGGGCCTGCAAAGGCTCTCAGTCGCATTATCTAGCAATAATGAATCTGATAGGTGAAATTTTTTACTGTAATGAGGATGAGACACAGTTGTGACACCTGAGTCTACTAATAACAGAAGACTGCTAATTATCGACAGCACTTTTTTGTGTGATGCAAGGAGAAAAAAAAAATCCCTCATTATTAAAAAATAAAAAGTTACAATTATAAGTGACACCGGAGGAGA